AGAGAGAGAGAGAGAGAGAGAGAGAGAGAGAGAGAGAGAGAGAGAGAGAGAGAGTATGCTTGCCTTCAGTGTGAGTAAGTATGTAAGTCCGACTTTGTGTTTGAGTGTGTGTGTGCAATCGTAAACTTAAGCGTGGGGGTTACTTTTTGTGTGCCCCATAACGGCCGGAGCTTGTTCGACAGGCCATCAGGCCCGGTACTTACCTATTGTCGTGACTTGCAGGGATTGCATTATGTAAGATTTGGTTTCCCTGGTGTACATCATCTTCTTCTTCTTATAATCCTCGATCTCTCATTTGAAGTTCATTTATTTCTTCTTGCAATTATATGTCATTGTACCATTAGCTCTGGAGTCTGAGTGATTCTAATCCTCGCTCTCACCACTTAAGTTCATTCATTTAGTGTTGCAACTGAATGTCATTGTATTATTGGATGAACGTGAAAATCTGAATTGGTTCGGCTATAGAATGTAAAACAACTATTGCCTAAGAGTGTAAGCATCTTAAGTATGGATATATGTTTAACTCGACATTGGTCCGATAATATTTATACGCACAGGACATAAAAAAAAAAAAACAAAGCACAAGACATAAGATACCATCAGATGTGTGAAAAAAATCCAGTTCCGACGAGCAGCCAATATGGCTGCCAACGTGCAAAATCCAGTTCCGCAACAAAATGTTAATCTACCTAATCAACCTGCCCAACGTGCACGAGCTCCCATGTCGCCACCAAATCTCTATCTATTTGATCTGGCGCACCATCTCACAGTAGCATGGCTGGCCACGCTTAGAGCACATCAGTACGATGATCACGAAGCACAGATCAACATTCCGGCTCGAATGGGAGGAGACACTCATCATTGGTATAGTACCTATGTATGAGTGGATCTCCCGACCTTCGAACGGGATTTCATGAATCGATTTGATTATGTCCACCCCGCGCAAGCGTTGTACATGATCAAGGACCGAGTGCAAAAACCGCTCGAATCCGTTGTGGAATATCGAAACCTGTTCTACAGAATGTTCTCAAAAACTGAGCGAGGTGAGCAAGTAAGGAGAGATCAGATCATTGATGGACTCCGCAGTCGAACAATAAGGGCTAAGTTGCGAAAGCATTTTTCCCCCATCACCCATACACTACAACAAATTATGGCTGTTGCGGAAGAAATGGAACGGAAGTTCGCGGCGAACTTCCTAAAAGGAGAAGATTACCCTAGAGACGGAGATTCGACCGAGCTCGCTCGAGCAAGAGCAGAGATGGCTGCTTTACAAAAAAAATTAAAAAACATGGGGTTTGTATCAGGACCTGTGACCTATATGGAACAGATAGGCCCCAAACGAGTAATCCTAAGTGAGACTCCGAGCATCTCTGCTCCTATGATGCCCCCGCCCGTCAGGGCATTACCCCCGCCGCCGGTAGAGGCTCCTGTACGGTCAAACGAATCGGCGGCCATTTTCGAACTAACGAAAACTTTGATTAGTTTGATCCAAGAAAGCAAAAAGGAGCAGCGACAACACAATGCTCGGTTGGAAGCCATGATGAGGAACATGCGACCTATTGCGGTGCGTGCCCCTCCGATGCAACAAGGATTAGCCCCCGCCCCTGCTCTCGGAGGAGCTGCGAACAATCTGAATGTTTGGTACGCCTGTCATCAGCCCGGACATCTAGCCCGTGATTGCCCCCACCAACCCCCACAACAGCGGATCGGAGTCGCACCTATGGTTGCGGCCCCCATCGCCAACGGACCAGGACGAGTCGGAGCCTTGATGGAAGAAGTAGAGGGTGGCGGAAGTGCCTTGGCCACCACGGAAGAGGCCGCCGAGCTAATTCCGCTAGATCAGTATGTGTCGTTGGGATATCCGGGGCTAGGAATGATCGGAACAATCAGACCAGCGCCAGAACCGAAAGAGGTGGCGGAGTGGCGACCGTCCTTAGGAGAAATGGAGTCGGGAGGACCCACCTTCGTCACAGGAGAGATCGATGTACTAAACATCATCCGAGCCTTGGACCATCGGATTCCCCTTCGGATCGGTCATCTACTCTCGATCTCCGAGCAAGCCAACGAGCGAATGTTGCATCACTCTAAAGCGAATCGAAAGCGATTCGCTCTCGTCCGAGCACCGAACGTAAAAGCCAAAGGCCCCGCGCCGAAAGAAAACCCAACAAGCACTCCGGATCCGATACRGATAGGATTAATTCAGAAAGACGATCATTTCCTACGGATTAAACCCATTCCGTGGAAATACGAAGAGTGCGATATAAAAATTTGGGGAATTCCTTACAACGCCATTATAGACTCAGGAGCAGCTGTGTTGGCTATTTCACTGAGAGTGGTCGAAAGGGCAGGCAGGAAAAACGATCTGATATGCTCACCGAGAAAGATCAGCTCGTTTCGGCAGATGAGAAAAATATTAAAACTATGGGGAGAATGACCAACGTCGCCTTCCGATTAGGAAAAGTACACGCGCTTGGGGATGTCATAGTACTAGATGTTAATACGTACGACGTTCTTTTCGGACTTCCCGCTCTTGTGGCGTTACGAGCAAACCTGGATTTCGAACGACGATCGATCGTCCTCCGAAATACAGGAGGAAAACCCTACGCTGTGCCCATGCGATTGACCCTTCGCACTACTATTAACGCGGTTCCGCGGGTTTCGCCGATGATGGCAGGGACTCTCCGCATGATCTCCTGGGACGAACCCGCAGAAGGGAAGCCATCAACTGATGATGCGGAAAGCAGTGACGAAGATGATCCGGAGATCTTGAAATTGGTACGATAACGCGTTTACTACCCGCCGCCCAAAACGATAGCGAGAACGATGCAACTGACCAGCCGAAAAATTCAAAGGACCAAGGCGATGATCTTGGGAGAGCCCCTCATGCAGATTTCGAGGATGGTCGACTCTTTGGAACCCCCTCAAACTCTGTACGAAGGGATCACCCCTCTCCTCGCCAGGTATAGCGACAAAAAACATTATTGCGACATTACGGAACTACCTAGGTCTTTACTAACATCGGCTAAAGAAGTGAGATTGTTACGCTTGGGGGCGGAAACAAGCTCTCTGGAACCCCCTGGGCGTTTTGAAGCAGAAACAAACGGACTGGGGATAAAGATTGCAACTAAGGAAGTGCCATGGCAGGATGTCTGCGAAGGGATTACCCCGGAAGGGCACGTGGCAATCCGAGAAGAAGATGATCAGATGATGGCCACAGTGTTCTCCTGGCGATCGGATCATTCATTCATCTCGGCGCCTCCACCCGACTTGACAAAACAGGCGAACACGAAACAGATTGACGTTCGGATCTGCGACCAACTTTTTGAACTGCACGTTCCACAATATGTGCTGGATGAAATCCACCGGGTGATTGCGGATATTCTAACGGAATACCAAAGAGCAATTAGTGTGTCAGACACTGACATCGGGTTGTCGTTAGTAATCCAACATGAAATTCAGACAAGAAATCACTTCCCGATTCATTGCAAACCTTATCACTATTCCTTGATTGAACACAAAAAGGCTCTCGAACGAATTCAAGAATTCGAAGCTAGTGGTTGGATTGAACCCACTACCGGACCGTGGTCCTTTCCCGTAGTATTAGTGCCGAAGAAAAACGGGGCGATTCGCATTTGCATTGATTATCGCAAGCTGAATGAAATCACGATCAAAGATGTGTATCCCCTCCCCCGGATTGATGATTTGTTGGATGCGATTGGGTGCGCTAATTATTTCAGCAAGTTTGATATTCGAAATAGCTTCCATCATATTCTGGTAAGGGAAGAAGATTGACCGAAAACGGCCTTTGTGTTGTTTGAGGGCACGTGGCAGTGGGTTCGGTGTCCGATGGGGATTTGCAATGCGCCTGCCACGTTTCAGCGAGCGATGAACATGACGTTTCAGAATTTCATCAACAAGATACGGCTGACGCAAGGGATGATCAACTTTTGTGTGATCGTGTACATGGACGACATCCTGGTCTATTCGGAGACCTATCACGGACACGCGCAACACATTGAGTGGACATTGGGCGCACTGAGAGATGCTGGGTTTAAGATTGCGCTCGAGAAAAGCGAATTTTTCCTCTCGGAAATTTTGTTCTTAGGCTACGTCGTGAGATGTGGAGGATTGCGGCCGGACTCGAGAAAAGTTGCGGCGGTGAAGGAAGCCCCGGTTYCCACATCACTGACRMAGGTTCGAGCCTTCTTGGGGCTGGCGTCGTACTACCGGCGCTTCATCAAGGGCTTTGCCGTGATTGCACAACCGCTAACGAACATGTTACGGAGGGACCAACCTCTCAGTTGGGACGCGGAGTGCCAGCAGACCTTTGCAACCCTCAAAGACGCTCTGGCAACGGCCCCTATTTTGATTCGGCCGGACCCCTCGAAGCAGTTCATTCTCATCACGGACTGGCAACCGGAAGCTATTTTCGCTATTCTAGCACAGAAGGGGAACGATGGTCGCGAACACTTCATCGAGTACGCGTCTCGAACCGTACCGGACGAACGAAGAAACGACTCCGCACCTCAAGGCGAGTGCTATGCGATAGTTTGGGGAATCCAGCGCTTCCATCCGTATCTCTACGGACAGAAGTTTCGCCTCGTAACGGATCATGAGCCTCTGCTAGCGCTGAAGAAACTCACCAACTACATGGGCATGATTGGCCGTTGGGCGGTGCGACTACAAGAATACGACTTCGATATCGTCCATCGAAAGACAGAGCGGCACGACAACGCGGACGGGCTGACATGTCTACACCGACCTGTCAAGGTACCAAAGCGCTAGGAAATTACACCGTGGAAAGAGCTGGACTTGACCAACGAGCCGAAATACGGACAAGTGGCAGTTCTCCCACATGGCAAGAAGCAAAATGGTGGCGATGGGTGATGGAGGTAAACCCACTACCCCTATTTCTCCCCCTTCCTCCTCATCTCTCCTCTCCCTTCCTGACAAATTTTGATACTTTTGCGAAACTCTCTCTCGCGTATAGGCGGTCTCCATGCGTCCTAACGGGGAAGGGTATGCGGATTGGATAGATTGCCGACAGTGTGTTGCACGAGCCCATGGCTCGTGCATCCAATACAGAAACGATAGTAAACCATGGTTGTGCCCCTTGTGTCGGACCGACAAGCTTCCGACCGAGGCTTGCTTTTTGGATGCCACGTCAGAAGGATTGGAAAAAACCCGGAAGTTTAGAAGGGTCGAAGTATGGACGGATATTGCCTTAATTGCCACCCTAGTAGGTAACCCCCTCCAGGATTTCACCAAGGAAGATCGAAGGAGGGCCAACAAAAGTGCTCGGGATTATCGATGGATAGAGGGTAGATTAGAAAAACGGAAAATGGACGGCAGTGGGATTTGGATGGTAGTGCCGCATCCGTTCATGCGACACGACTGGTTAAGACAACCCACAAGGAAACTGCGGCCCATTTTGCCGTACGAATCACGGAGTCCGCTATCGACAAAAATGAGTGGTATTGGTCCAATATCCGCGATGATGTGAAATACATTGTCGCCAACTGTGAAGTCTGCGCCGCTGACAAGACGCTGATTCAACCACTAAGATCGATAGTGCCCACGGTTGTTGAACGGCCATTTCAAAGAGTGAGTATGGACACTACCGACATAGTGGTGCCCCCTGACCCTAATAGTTGCGAATATTCAGTCCTATTGGTATTTGCCGACCATTTCTCGAAATGGATCGAAGCGTATCCTTGTCGCACACGGCAAGCCACGGACATCGCACGGTATGTCAAGCGTTTCCTCGGGATACATCAGGATACGGATGAATTCAGGGGAGAAGTGTTAAGGAATCTGGTCCTACATGGCGTCGCCATACGTAACACTGCACCCCATATGTCACAATCCAATGGGCTGGTCGAAAACGCTAACTGGGTGATAAAGACAGCGTTGCGACGAAACATCGCGGCACGGGATCCGAGACCCTGGCCCGATATCGCCGATCACATCCTGGCGGTCCATCGCGGAACGCCCCACGAATCGACAGGGCTGAGCCCTTTCCAATTAAGGACCAATAGTGTCGCTTGCGTTTCGATACCAAGCCTCCCGGATGAGTCTACATTGAACCGACGGCCCACCAGGGCCACGACTCGGGACAAGGCCAAACGACACCTAGAGTTAATGGAACGGTCGTTGCCCAGGCTAGCCCGAAAGCGACAGAAAATGACCGAACTAGCCCAGGGCCGACAGGTCCGGAGCTACGAGGCCCGAAATGGGAATGCGGGTCCGCGGCCCCAATACAAATTGGGGGACGTGGTGCAGGTGAGGAAATGTGTTCGCCAGGGTAAGCTAGCGCCACGATTCTTCGGGCGGTATTGCGTGATCGAGCTCGGCCCCAACGGCGTGGACACCGTGTGTCTCGCCTCTGAAGTCTCTGGCAGTCATCGGCTCGTCTGATCACACGCCACGTGTCCTATCTTCGCCCTCTCCCCTCTTCTTCGTCTCCTTCTCCCTCAATCTCTCTTTCTGAGGAAGCCGACGACGGCGGCTCTGACTCCTCGCCATCTCCCTCTCTTTCCTGTTCCCTCTCTGCAACACCGTCGCCCCCGCCATCGCCATGAGTTTCGCCATCAAGCGAGCTTTCAGTGATCAGTTGCTGATGCCACGGGGAGAGATCTCAACCATCGGCCAAGTGCATCATCCACGGATCAGCCCCGACTTTATGCGCCTTGCGCAATTCTTCTGCACTGCAGGTGTATACGGCGCGGCAGAGTTCCGATTCACGAGCAATCCCCAGGTAGTGGTGCTAGCCGAGGCAACGGGGTTCCAACGGCGAGCAGCCCCAGAAATCAGCCACGTGTCTACCGTGGTGGTCTTCAGCGGCGACATCACCGCCTTCGATCCGGCGCGGCAAGCCGCCATCAAAAACACCTTGTACCGGTGGAGTCGCGATCTGGCCACTGATTGGGATCGACGGCTCACAAGGCACGGTGACGAGTGCTACCCTGTCGACGACATCGAAGTCAACACGCTGCGCACGACGCTACGCGAGCCACCTGTCGTCCTCCCAAAACTTGCTCCCTTCCAGCCGCGTAGATGAGCCACGCACCGATCTCGTTCTCTCCTCCCTCTCTCTTCCCCATCTTCTGGCAGTCCTCTCACTACCCTCGTCTCTCCTTCCGTCTGGAACCACTAACAGTACCCATCGTTGATCCGGACCGTTGGAGGCTGTGGCGTGCAGAAGTTGTCGAGCTCTCGTTTTGCCTGCTACGAGTGGATCTGAACTGGACGTGGGAAGGTGATCAGAGGCCCGCGTTGGAGATTGTGGAGTTGCTCGTCATTCAGGCGTGGAGAACCAACGTGGCGGGAGATCTTCTAGGATTCATCTTTGGAGCAGTGGATCGGGGAAACCGATCACAGATCGTGCCTGAACTTTCGATCGTGATCGTGCGATTGGCCGACGAACTCCCTCTCGACATCGTCTTTCAGAGCGACGAAGAACCCGTGCCACATACCCTCTCAAGAACTCTCGCCTTGAGCCTCTAGTGGTCGGCCTGTATCGAGGAGCGCTGGGCGGACGACCGTTTCCCCTCCCGTAGCGAGTACCTGGACGTCCACAGCCTGACTAATCCCCGCTTCTTTTGGCAACCAATGGCGTTCGAGTGGGCGGCGTTGAGAGCAGAAGAGGGGGCCGAAGAGGAATCGAAAGTAGAATTGAGGAGAGAAGTCGGGGAAGCAGCGGCCCGAGTGGCCGAGGACGAGGAAGAAGAGTCGGTGGAAGCTGAAGAAGAAGAAGAAGAAGAAGAAGAAGAAGACCCAGAGGAGGAAACTTCGAAGGAAGAGGGAGAGGCCTACAACGAATATAGCGAGGGCGAGCAAAGTGAGGAGGAGGAAGACGACGAAGAAGTGGAAAACGGGGACGACCAGGGGCCGACGCACGACGAGCTCGAGTGGCTGCGCAGCGCAAGAAAGAGATCGAGGAAGGAAAGCGGTTGGCGATCGATCCCACACCGAACGATCCTTTCAAGGATCCCGAGCCGCCCAAGCCGGAACATGGGGACCTTGCTGCCACGACCTCGGGAGCCGCGACGAGAAGGCGCCGATCCCGATCCCGATCCACAACCCCCTCCGCCTCCGGCCGTCCCCCAATTCGTTAACGTGTTAATGAGGGGCTTAGCCCTTCGTCCCCGATCCATATACCACCATCCCCTTAGTTATCTTTCTTTCAATCTGTATTTCCATCGAGTCGTCTACCCCCGTAATCCCTTCCCCATCGCCACCTTCTGACATTTTTACTCCGCCCACCTAGAACAGACTGTCCACCCCCACCCCTCCGTTCGGTGTGCTGTCCCCGATTACTCCCTCCACGTTCTGCTCCTTAGCGCCGCGTGGCGAGGCCGTAACCATATAGAGGTTTACTGCATCGTTACAGGGACCTTCCCCGCGTGCGAGAACCATGATCGGTTCCGCACAGACGTCCTCCGAACCCTCGTATCCCTTTACCCAGACTACCTCGCTTCCCTTTCCCGCAGCGGCCAGAGRTTCCCCCGCTTCCATTGCATTGTCCGTTTTAAAGAACTTCCATATGACCTCACTGCGATCGGGCGCTTCATACCCGAGCTTGCGATGGAGCCGCCCCGCCCTCCCTCATACGCGTATCGCCTTCCCTTCCCCCTTCCGGTTAATTAGTGATGCAGCGGTAATGGACACATGTCGCGGCAACGGCACGAGAAATATCCTGTCCTTGGATCGTCGAAGAGCCCAATCAGAGGAACTAGTAGAAGAGCAGAGTTGCCACGTTGGATGACGTCCACACGCAATCGAACGGTAAGTGGCATACCGAGGATTGCTCCGCGTGTCGATCAATTAGAGAAATCGACACGTGTCAAAAAGCAAGCAAGAGCTTGCTAATATTGGAACCCCCTGGGCGTCACATATGTGACGAACCACTTTCTGTAACGTGCGATTTTCTGCATGGTTGCAACGAGGGATCCTAAGCTGGGAAGATTGGGCCAATTACGGGAACTCGGGATCGGTGGAAAATTGCATCGGTACCCTTGCTTTTTCGTCTTTTTCGTCGCTTCTTGTCGGATGACTGGGGTCGGAGCTGGGTGTGTCCTGGGACGACCGGTTGAGAGATTGGTCGGATGGATGTCTGGCGTGCCACCATGCGCACGAATAATAAATGTTGACGTCGTTCTTTCATTTCGGTTTTGACCTTTTGGGCGCGGACACTGCGCGGGAAATTGCTTCGTTCTTTTGAACCTTTCCTTTTCGAATTTTGTCGAGCCCCCCCCCCGATGGCTCTCAGAATTTTGGACTTTCCTTCTGGAATTTGTGCTTTTTGCTTTTTCGCATTAGATAGGAATTTAGGAATTCAGTAATTAGGACTTTTCCTGCCGCACGGCGCCTTTTGTCTACACGCTTCTTCATGCGGCTGCAACGGTACTCTAATTAGTGGGCGCCCTTAATCGAATGTGTAACTGTAATTTTGGGCGGGCGCCATTGTAACTGTATCTTTCTTCTTGCACTCCGTCTCTCCCGCACTCCCTCTCTTTCTTTTGCTGAAATTTTCGTAGGCCGCGGTTTGCATGCTCGGATCGATACGTGAAGAAGGATTACGTCCCCCACGTCGCGGCTCGATCATACAGAATGCAGGCGCTCCCTCTCTAATCTTCACTCTAAGTCTTGGTAATTCCGTGTTCTCCGCGCATGCATGCACGCTATAAATTTTTGTTGCGCGATTAGTCAACTCTCTTAACCCGTTTTTGGAAGCTCGGGGTTGCGCGATCAGGAAGGGTCGGCACACGAGCGAAGTAAGAGGTGAGTAGAGTAGGAGTTGGGCGATCCGACGGGCTGGTGCCGAACGCGCGGGATTGACGTGGGCCACGACGGACTGTGGGCACGGGCGAATCCGACGGGTGCTGGACGACCAAGCGTGGTGATAACTTCGTGGGTTGGTGCGTGACGACGGACTGTCCGCATCGGAGAGAGAGAGAAAGAGGAGAGAGTTGAGGTCGATGGACGTGGATTTGCTGTTTCTTTGTCTCTTCCCCCTCTCCATCTGTGTACATACGTTATGATTGCGGTCCCGGGCGGTTTGCCCGTTTTTATCTTTCGTTTCAGTTTTTTAAGCTTGGGTTTTTGTTCACACTTGTCTTTGCTATGTTCGTCCCGCTTGCATTATATGTATGATTATCGAATGTATGGATGTGTGGAAGTTATGCCTACTTGTCTATCTTTTTGCTGAGAATCCCCCGTCCTTGCTTTTGTTTGTATCAAATCTTTGCTCACACCTGATGCAGCTGTAGATGGGATAGGAATCTGGCCCCGATAACGATTTTTTTTGTTTTCGTTTTTGCTTATCTCACAATGGGGGTTGTGCTATGGTTGCATCTGGCAGGATCGAAACTTCCGAAGTCTGGCCCTGCGAACGCCGCGCGAGAACATGTGTAAACGCGATCCGAATCACTCCCTTACACGTATTCCCGTGCGTGGATTCGCACACCCAAAAAGATTCGCGACAGGACCGTTATCCTGTACAAGCACGATGAGGCGCCACTGAGGCTGCCTGCCCTGCACGTGCTTGTGCGCGGTGACGATATCCCGACCGAGCTGTCCCATCAACGATGATACCATGGCGCGATCTTGGAGTTCGGACTCTGGTAAACGAGCTCATAAGGACGCGATACCCCTGTCACACGGAGAACCGACTATGTCCGCGGGAATTCCACTGTGCCACCTCTAGCGACCCTCGGTGCTCTGATTTCCCTTCCCCCGACCACACCTACTACTTCACCCACTCGGGATTTATTGTCATCACCACCAGTTTCCCTCCTTTCCGTCTTCTTCTCTCGTACCATCAACTCTGTGTCGTCCCGTGGCCGGCCATAGCCCCATATTGGCCCAATACGTTTTGTGTGAATTGCCGACGTAGCGGCGAACAGAGAACTCCGGACTTCCGAAGGCCCAACTCAGGCACGCGGCGACCTGCGCCACGTGGCGGCCCCTGACGGCCTAACTTTTCGGGACCGCCCCCACTACGGAGGGAGTTCCCCGTAAACCGTCGTCCACCGTGCCCCGGCCCCATCGAACAGTGAGCCCCCCCCCCGGGGCACGCACCCCAAACTCGCCTAATTGCATTCATGTCCTTAAGACTCCCCCACTTTCCCCAAAAATCCTTGGCACACCCTTTTTTCGCACTTCCCGGCCCACACTCCACTCCGATCAGGAAGTTGCACTGGGCGTGAGGTTGGGCGTCACATCCTTCCCTCTAGGAGGGTTAATGAGACTCTCACTGGCCTTTCCCTCTTCCTCACAGCCTTGGGACTATGGTGAATCACCTTTCTAGGCCAGCCTCACTACCACCAGCCTCTAGAACTCCTCAGACTAGTCCACAGTCTCCTCTAAGCTCCCAAACTGGCAGGGATTCCCCTCTCCTTACTCCAAGTGAGAGAAGTGCTCGTATGAGCTCACATGGGCAGCATGGACACTCCTCATGCAATTGTGAGTATTGCGGGCTGCTCCTTCAACTTATGTAGGCTGAAACCAGAGTGTCGGCAAACCCATGAGCCTCCCCATGTGCCTCTAAGTGAACTGAGGTACCCCCAAGGCAAAAACCCACCACTAGGCCCCTCCGGGGGTACTTGAACCCAATTTTGGCTAAGTACATGCAGTCCGAGTGGTTTGTACCAACTCGGATTGCCTCTTGGCCTCCTTCAGCATCCTTTTGTTTTTCAAATGCTGCCCTCTTGAGTCCAAATGTCCAAGGGGCAGCCCTGCTTGAGAGAAAAAGGCCTAGTGGACCTTTTTCACAATTTTTTCAGTTTCTACCCCATTTTTGGTAGGCCGAGATATTTTTCCATGCCTCGATGCCTTTTCAGCTTTGCATCCAGCTGAGATTCAAGGCCAGCAATATTCCGAGCTAACCCTTGATGATCCTTGCTTCAGTTTTGGCCTCCAAAGCTCATCTTTTCAATCTGGCCCTCCGTTTGGGCCAAATGTACACTTTTTTTTTTTCTTCTTTCTTTTGTTTCTGGGCTGCCAACTCATTCCAGAGTTGGCCATTTGAGTTGACCTCATAAAAAACGGCCATATTCCCTCCTCCATGTATCTAAATCTGGTCCAAAAGAAAACCGGTCATTTTCATTTTGCCTTTTTTCTCAATTTTGCTTTTTTAATTCAGATATTGCAGAGATAATGCCCCAAG